TAAGCATGTCAGAAATAAATGGAACTATGATAGAAGACTGACCAAAAAAATATAAGGAGCGAATGTCCTTTTATAATTCCCACACAGTTTTAAAAAACAGTATCTGAACTGCTACATATTTATTATGATATCAACATAGAAATATGGGGTGATGGAAATGGAAAAATAAAAGGTTTGGCTTTTTTTTTCTATGGGTCTTAGGTAATAAAATGTTTCAAATGTTTTACAAAGGTTCATCAGCAAGATTCAAATTGGCAAAATTCACTATCTCTTTATCTCTGTTTAAAGTACATGCAAGTAATTCGCCAGTCCCCACCATTACTTGATAAAGCTTTACAAATTAAATGAGAACACAGTTTTTAATTTCTACTCTATTTTAAGATTTATATACTTGATCCAGAAAAATTGAGGTGTTTCCTAAAAGTGCCTTGGTAAACAACTCACCAAGCTATGAAGGATCTGGAAGTTTCACAGATCAGGCAAAACCAGCATATGACCAAAGAGTAAAGCCTCCAGATGTGGAAGCTTCAATCTGTAGCTAAATTTTTGCGTGTTATTTGTTGTACTTCTGGTTTTGAAATTACTATGCCTATATTCAGTAATATGCTTACAAAACTTCCTCACATGTAGATCACTGTCTTTCAAAATTCGTTAACGTACTCAAACTGCAGAATTTACCAGTCAGTATCCAGAGGGATTTTGTTTTTAATGCTTTGGCACAAAGTACTTCATTTTTCCTCAGCTCACTCAAACGTTTATTTAGAATTTAAAAAAAAAGTGCTCAATCTAGCTAGGGGAAAAAAATGCCTTCACTAATAATTCACAGAGGAGAAAGACTCCCGAACCTTCCAAACAGAGAAGAAAGGTACAGTTTATGAACATGACTCATTTGCTCTCCATTGTAAAACTTAAGGGCTGCGCTACTCACTCATTTGCCTTTAATTACATTGAACTTGATAGCAGAACACAGGGCAGACGAGTTCACTGGATGTTTATGACAAAAAATGGTAAAAATCCCCCAGTACTTACAGTTACTAATCACAGACTCCAACAAACTAGTATCTCAAGAAGTCAGGGTGGAGTCTACATTAGTATTCTGTCTTCAACTTGATCTGTAGTATAAATCCACACTACTGATGAGAGCAACAGTCCTACCCTCTTCCTCCCAGCCCTGTCCTGATCCCTTCTCTTTTGTGATAGCAGTCACATTAGTGCAGCCATGTGGCAAAACAGATCTGGCCGAAAAATAACCTAGAGGATTAAGATTTACAGAAAAAGGGGTTACTTTTCAGCCAGATCAGTTTCCCAGTCCAGTTCATCCAGGAGTCACAGGAATGCTTGAGCCAGCATAAGGGTAGAGAAATGAATGACAGTGAGGAAAAGGGTAAGCCAGCACTTGCACTTTGCAGGATTTCACCAGTTATGGAAATACCGCTTGCTTAAATAAAATCAAATCCACTGTCAAATGAACAGAGAAGCAAAACGTAGCTCGCAACGTAATTTTTCATTTCTATAGCAATTTGGATCAGATACAAGATTATTTCTTACTACCTCTTCCATTCTACCTCCACCTTTTTTCCACTGTTCTTTTTTTTTTTTTTTTTGAAAACAGAGCAAGAACTGTGCCGTTTCTCTGAGATTCTCTGTTGTTCCAATTGATTAGAGAAACAAGGAAGATGAGACAGGAAGGCTTTGGACAGGGAAGCGCTAGGGGGGACCTCACACATTTCAAGCAAGCAATGCTTACAGTTGAGCTGGGATGGAACTTGAGCAACTACAGCAACACAGATATCACCTAGTGAATTTGTTTCCTGTGTTTCAGAAACAAGAGGGAGACAAAGGTAGATATATTTTGAAACTCATATTTCTAGTTGAGTACATGCAATAATTCTACAGGAAAGAATAAAAGTCCCTATAACTATCATCCTTGAAAGCATAAACTCATCTGCCACACAGCAGGAAGGAAGGCCTTCCTGCAGCAGGAGCGTAAAACTTTCTCACTATCCAGCAATGACTTAGTATGATTAACAGGCCAGCAAATCCTGCCGAGAGGGTTATTACACTATTTTCATTTTAAAAGAAAATCAATACAGAGCATTTTCTTGAAAAGGAAAATGGTAACAAGTTACATAGATGCCTCTCTTCCTGCAACATCTTCATAAAGTATTTCTAAATTTCTTGGACAGTATGCAATTAACTTTTGGGGCATAATTCATCACATCATACTGATGGGAAATTATAAACAGGAAACACTGAAGTGGGTCAGCTCCAGAAAGTGGACCGCGGTACACGTGTGATTTGAGGTTTCAACCAAGAACGAAGAATGTAATCATTGCCTATGAAGCCATCCAAACACCACCACCAGTATAAATGAGTCTGCATCAGCCAACGCCTATTACACGTCTGCTAGCATAAAGTTATCTTCAATACAGTACAATAAAATTTAAGGTAATCAAGTACTCTGAAACCCACAAATGAAGCTGCTTCTCCTCAATCAGCTTTTCACTGGCACGTGTAATGCCTAGATTTTGCTGGTCTATACTCCTCTGACAACAAAGGACATTAATTGATTCAAACAAACCTGACAACTCATTAGGATCACTAGTGGCAAAGAAGCATCAGTGAATATTTAAATGCAACACATTTTAGGGGAGGACTTCGCTGAGCTTCAAAGATTACATCTCTCAATCAACATAAAGCATAAATATATATTGTAGTTCCTGTCAGGCACAATGACACAAAAGTTACAAAGCTTTCTCTGCAGAATGCAACAAATCAGTGGTGTAACTGGAAATAGCAAAGTGTTCTCAAACTCAGACTCTCAGCCCAATCGTCTATTTAAAGACTAATACACTTATCACTAGTAGGTTCTGCTTGCATTTAAAAGTTACAGTAAGATGGCTTTCACATATAAAGTACAAAGTTTTACACAGGAAACTTAAGATTCGTTGGGTATGAGAAAAAAAATATATATATTCACAGTGGAAGTAGTCAAACATTTGAAGAGGTTGCCCAGAGAGGCTGTGAAATCTGCATCCTTGGAGATATTCAGAATTTGACTGGGCAAGGCCCCGAGTACTCTGCTCCAGATAGGCCCAGCTTTTAGCAAGAGGTTGGACCAGAGACATCCAGAGGTCATTTCCAGCCTATTTCATTTTAGGACTGTATTCCATAAGTCCTATTTTTAAACAACCATTGCTGGTAGGCTTGCTTTCTTATATCCAGTGAGCAGATTCTTTCCCCTCTCAGATCTGTGTTCAAGATTTCTTAATAAAATGTCCACAATAATCAAGAAAATTCCACTAGCAATATTAATTTTTAAATAAGATAACAAGATTAACCTTAGGAAATTATATCTTTCAAACTAGCATACTAAGTAAAGCAGTATGGAGAACGCCTACATTTATATACCAAGTTGCTATTCACATCAATCCAAATCACTAAAACTCTAATCTTATACTCCGTTTGAACAAGGCCAGTTTGTTTCCATACATGCACTAGCATGCATAGGACAAAGGAAAACAAACTGCCTAAAGTAACAGTAATCTTCATTTTTTGTAAATGCAGTAGGATAAAACCTGTATGAAATACCTCAGAGAAACATTTCTTGAGTGACTCTGGGATTTTCCCATCAACCACATGTAGCATCTTCTCCATGTCTTCACGGACAACATAACTCCCAGATTCATTAGAAAAGAGACTGAAAATGTCTGAGGAAGAAGGGAAACATTTAAGCAACTACAGTAGCTACGTTTTTCAAACATTAAGTTTAAATTGGCTAAAAAGGCTAAAAGCTGTGCAATAATTAAAGCACTAGAAACTCAGATTCATTCAACTGTAGTACAGCTCAAAGTTTAGGTAGAGAAATATTTCCTTTTACCATTACCCACTAATCAAAAGGAAAATAAATACTATCAAGTCAGATTTACAGGAAGACAAAACAACAGAAGTCAGTAGGCAGATGCCTTCATTCATTTTGAAAAATATCAGTGCTGTCCTCCTTTCTCTGCCCACATGCAATGCTGAACAGGTTTTCTGCAGGATCTTAACGTTTACGTTCATGATGAAATATCAAATCAAATGAGTATAGGAAATTAAAATGCATTGAATTTCAAAATATATAGCTAACTGTCTAAAAATGATACTATATTGGCAACCATGTATGCTCTGGTCACATACAAAAATAGTTACTGAATATATCACAATATAAGCTTACTTTACAAAAATTTTTGTATTTTACACACTCTATACTCTTGTTACGCTTGTAAGTTACGCTACTTACATTTTGCTTTCTCTTCCTCTCTGCCTCTTGTAAGTAGAACTAATCCGACTATCAAGTTATTAAAGTGCAGCCCTTTGGATATTCCTCCAAATGAACAATAGATAACCTAGGAGAACAGAACAGGACAGTTAGCAAGTCTTTAACTGGGAATAGATATGCGGAAAACAGAGATGACAACATGCTACTATCTGTACACTGGAACTATTGCTGGAAGGATCACTGCAGTTAGTACCCCACTCTATTAAACAACATCAGTTAAATCCTTCTGCCAGTACATGGTGATTCTTTGATGCGTTAAGTTTCATTACTTGCTTATAATGCTAATATTTTTTACTTTCAGATATGTAAGCATCCATGAAAGAAAATACGCACACACAAGAGAACATGAAATAAATCACTAAGACAATAAGAAATACTATAAACAAAGAATTCCCCTTTTTTGAATAAAATTAAAATAGATCTCTTGAGCACAATTAGGAAACAGAAAACAATGCAACATAGTTCAATGAAGTTCAATGATGCCTTAACTCAGAGGCAGAATAAAACAGAAGGTTGATCTTGTTTCATTCAGAACAAGGCATCAGAGAAGGGCTCTGTGATTGTCCATTTTTTACAGCGCCAAACCTATCAATGTATTAGATCCCCTCCTAAATAGCAGAATTAGGATCATAAACCTACTGGATGTGTCCACTGAACACTTTACTATAAGCATTAAGTCACCTTTGAAAATCACAGGAATAACTTTAACAGGCATCAATATTTGTTACTCTAACTGTAAGCCAAGAAATCTGTTAAGTACTTGAACAGTATTTGTGCCTTCTACACTGATAAAGCAAAATTTAAGTCTATATTTGTTTAAAAAAAATTACTTCTCTCAAAATAAACAGTTGAAGACCAACAGCTTTTGAGGTCATCTGCTGACCACTACTTGTTAGTAATAAGAGAACGTTTCACTTTCCTAGTAATTTAATCATTTATAATAATATTTCATAATAAAATATTCATAAATCACAAAGTGATCACAACTCAACACAATTCAGAAACTTCTGATTAATGATGGGACCACACTGACAGCAGTTAGAGGGAACCACCATATATAGGTGCAATAACACCACAGTGAGGCTTCTACGAGACGTCAGGAAGGTAAGCGACACAAGCAGAAAGATTCTGGGGCTAAAAGGCTCCTCTCCCTATACTCTCCAGTAACAGCAATGTCACTGCTGCCACCAGAATTCTCAGTCTTACAGCACAAGTAATGAAAGGGTGGAAGAGGCAGCTGTCATGTGAATGAGTCATTAGCTCTTACTATCTCAGGTGCAGTTTTCCATCTCAAGTAAAAACTAAGACGGGACTGAGAGTGAGCAGAGACAGCTGGGGGCCTTTCAAGGGCACTGCAGTGGATAGATCTGGCTAAGCCACATAGTACTGTAGAGGTAAAAACAAGCAAAGGAAATACCATGTTACCTTAGATCAGTTCTCTCCTGGTCTATCCAACAAGCTACCACTTTCATTACTATACGCTTACACTATTACAAAATATCTGAAGGCAAGTAAATTTAAATTAGGCTTATAATACAGAAGGATCTCATTCTAGGGAAGACGTTACGTAGAACCTGCAATTTCATTCTGCTATGCTTAAGACATAGCACTACCCAAACAGACTAAATTCCCACAGGACGTTCAGATCATCTTCATCTATTATTTCAGTTTAATCCATTACAAAAGCTGAGAGGCTAAATTAGTAGAACTAAATTTGTGCTCTGTTTCAACACAGTGATTGTATACGCTTCATGGATAATGTCATGGCAGAGATTTGAATTCCACACTTTCTCCTTCTAACCATTCTGATTTCACAATCAGAAAGTGTAGCCTTCAAGGCTACACTATGTAAGTGATTTTCCTTCAGTCCTGAAAATAAGTAATTTAGACATTGGAATCATAACTGTTTTTAAAATACAGTTAGCTCAGCTGGCCAGCTGAACACTACATTTTAAGTCTTAATATAATTACTTTTGATCTAAAAAAACCACTAGGAGCACAAAATGGGACAGAATTCTTATATTTCGTATTAATGGAACTTCCAAGACAAAAAAGATACATGAGTAAATGAAGCAGTGAAATCACTCTTTTCCCCATCACAACTTATAATAAAAGATTATCTTTCCTGACATGTTATCCTTCATAGATAACTAAAGAGTATAAACACATGTTTTCTTTTCTATTTAAAAGATGGTGATTTGACTAAAATTATATAGTGCATAGAGTGTGGAAAAAGGAGAAGCAACAGGACTCAGTTTCTAATTAGTTGCACTGGTATAATTTTAGAAGAATTTATGTTGATTTAAATAAGTCTTAATTTCCAGCAATGTAAGTGAAGATGGCATTCTCTGTCTCTTCAGACTTCCAGATTTCTTCACTAAGGTTGTTTCTCCCCACAAACTCAAGAGCAGAACTGGTAAAAAAACAAATGCATAGCAATACTCAGCAATTCAGTACAACTTCTAGCATTTAAACTTAACTCGTTGATGGGATTGCGACAAGGTGCCAGACTCTACTGGATGAGTTAAGTACAGACAATTTCCATTCTGCTGACTACCAATAAAATTGAAAACCTTCAGGGAAATTAAAAAGAGACAGCTGGGAGCAGCAAATCACCATAACAAGATTTGGTAGAACTTGTCACAGAATCACACAACGGTTGAGGTTGGAAGAGACCTCTGGAGGTCATCTAGTGCTATCCCCCTGCTCAGTCAGGGTCACCTACAGCACGTTGCCCAGGACCCTGTCCAGACAGCTTGTGAATACCTCTAAGGATGGAGAGCCCACCACCTCTCTGGGCAATCTGCTCCAGTGCTCAGTCACCCTCACAGGAAAAAAATTTTTCCTTCTGTTCAGATGGAACTTCCTGTGTTTCAGTTTGTGTCCGTTGCCTCTCGTCCTATCGCTTAGCACCACTGAAAAGAGTCTAGCCCCATACTCTTTATACCCTCTGCCTTTTGTCCACAAAAAATCGTCTTCACTTCTTTTTACAACGTGAGTAGAAGCAAATCTTGGGTTTTCTCAAAATTTACATTATTCAAGCTCACAGATATAGCCAATCTTACTGGCTGAATACGAATACTAGAAGTTCACCGTTATGTGTACTAAAATTTTGAGATGCCAATATCCCAAAACGGTAAGATCATATCAGAAAACAATCAAGACTCTTCCATTAATTTTACTTCACCAACTGGAAACTGAGAACTAAGGGTTAAAATAGATAATCATCATACCAAAGCTGTGTCCTTAAGCACAGGTTTATTAAAACAGCAAAAGGTAACTGGTAGACAGCATTTAAAAACCCAGAATCTCTCTACTCCTGACCTCAAAGTTTATATCATTCAAAGCATTAATACTGGAATAAAAGGGATATCAAAGTACAAATGAACTCAGTGTAAAATTCTAAACATTTAAAATTATTTCAAACCAACCGCATGTAGTGCAGGATACATTTTTGCTTTTATCGTAAGGGCTACTAACAGTAAAAGCCATCCAAATAACACATATAGAAATTAATACTGAAGTCACGTTTAAGCTATGGGCAAATCATACACTTTCTTTTAATTGGATAGGTGCTAATATATATTGCAGTATTTCCTGTTAAGTGCTTGTATACCTGCATAAATCAAACTCTCAACTACATTACAGAAGCAACTAAGATCGCCTTTGCTAACGCTTGGGAGAAAAGAACAGAGAAAAAAAAAAATCAGCTTAGAAAAAGAAACCTTCTACATTCACAGACAAAACAGCTATTCCCCACAGTAAGTCTTCAAACTACATAAGGAAATAATATTGTGGGAATATATTTCACACTGTTAAACCTTTTGCATTGCATACTTCACTACTCACATTATCTAAATAAAACTGGAAGACTTGTATGTTGCCTGTGAGGTCAGTAACACTGAAGATACTAGAAATAGAAGCTGTGATTAGAAGTGACATGGAGCAAGATATCATTTGAAAGGTCTGGCTAGTCTTATTCTTTCTCTAGCAACAGTATTTTAAATTCTTTCTCAGATCAGAAGCAACTTTATGAAAGAAAATATTTTTCTAAACATGGATGTGTGCAGGATGGTATTGCTACTTTATTTTACACATACAGTATTTATACCCATGTAGCATATTTTGTTTCTGGATATTTTCCAATTCATTTATACATTTACTATAAATAAAGTTAGTTTTGAGAGCTTGTAAAGATCTATCTGTATTTTAGAAAAAACAAAGCAAAAGAATCTCAGAGAAATCAACAGCATGTGTATCTCCACAGTAAATAAAGTACTCTGCTATTAAGGGCTATATATAGTGTTAAACATTCCTAACCTTCCACTTTCCCAAATCTACAGCTGGGTATTTAGGTGTACTTCAAAGTCATCTATCACCTATTACTTGGGTTTGAGCCAGTAGCTTAGTCAAGCTCATGAGTGATAGCCCATATCCATGTCTGGCACGTTATCCTCAGACAGAGGATGCACCCTGTGATACCGCATGAAAAACAGAAATAAATTAAATCAGCTGTGTTCCTAAAGAGGCGTGTTTGTGTGTGCACATCCGTAGACATACTTTATCAACTGCATATACGTTCCCAGGAAAAAAGAAAAGTAAGTACATAGGTTACCTCAGCAACTTTTGGAGGAACTCCATCACCAAGGACTTCTCTGATGAAGCACTGTTGGGTCATGTAATATGAGAGTCCACAAGTTCTCTTGAAAGCATCCTTCAGTCGCTTTAGCTCTATGTCTGTAACTGCATTGAGTGAAAGGGAGGGGAGGAGAGGGAGAGAGAAATTTATTTAATAAAGATGTAATAACTCAAGGATAGTCAAATCTTATATAACTAGTGGAAAAACCTGACTACTGGAAGATGAGATCTAATAATCTAATCTTCCAAAAAATGAGAAGTCAAGTAGAACTAAAGCTAGCATCATGCATTACAACAGTTCACTGCTTAAGTCTTCTCTGACTACAACAGCATATTATAATGCTTGTTCCAAATTAAACACCATTACTGTCATGCAAAAGGAAAATAAGCTAGCTTTATGTTCAATTTTACATTGCATGTAGGCCAGAGAACTGATTTGTAACCAATAGTGGTGAACATTTACTAAGAGTGACTCCAATAGAATGCTTCAAGCACTTTTATCTAGCAAGCAGCCTACTTCGTCGTAGAAAAAAAAAGTATTTAATCGTCACTTACAGGTTCATAAGATAGTGCAGTGAAGCATGAATTTAATAGGAATATTACAGCTACATTTTGAAATAAACGTAGTTCTTCACCTAAGTTTTTCTTGCACAGCCAAAAACTGATTACCAACTACAACCTTTTCAAATTCATTTACAAACTGTACACATGAAAAGTTGGAAGAAATCCCTTTTATATCTGCCCATGAGCTTCTTGAAAAGCAACCACTACCTTCACATTTTACAAGCATATAGCAACTTTCTAACAATGTGCCCCAGAGGCTCAGAGTAAGGAAAAGGAAATGCATTATTTCCACATGCATAAAGTATACATTCAAGTACCCCACCAAACAAACTCCAAGTGCTTTGTGAAAAGCAAGTTGCAGAGAATAACATACTATGTCCTAGATCACACAGTAAAAAGAGCTATTTACCATCCAGAAGCCTAAAGAAATTATGCTGTGCTTGATAGCTATTTCACTGTACTTATAGTAAGACATTCTTCTTCCCCTGAAACAAGAAGCCAGACAGAAAAAACACTGATGTGCCCAAAAGCGTGTCAAGTTTTGTCAGCCACATTAAAACAGGACACCTCAGAACTTCATGCAGCAGTCTAAAACTTCTACATTTCAATTAATTCATTCATCAGGAAACGGTTCCTAAAAGGTAAATCATGCTGAAAAATTCCCAATTCTAAAGTTAGTCAATGTTTACACAACTAGTGTGTTAACTTTACAACTTTGTAAAAATCAGACTTGGATCTGATTTTTTCCTCACAATTTTATTTTGGGAAAAAAAGATTTCACAGAGCTAAAGAATAAATCTAAGATCTGACCTGCACTGCACTGGTGCTGTCAATAAGTATGGATTTGGCAAAAGACACAGCCAAGCTATTACCATCAAACTTCTTGTTTTAATAAAATAAACAAAGTTCAATTACATGGCAGAAAAATGTTGGTATAATACAGTTACCTGGCATATATGGTGTTTAAGTGTCATTATTTCATCTTAACATCTGTACCCACACTCATTTCCTTTATGCCTTTAAACGTGATGCTTTAACAAATGCTAGAACACTTTGTTAGCCACACCAATTAGTTTTCTTCCGAGAATTTCCTTAGCTAATTAAAAAACAGACTCTCAGACATGATATTTACAGTTTTAAGTGACATTCTTCACCCACCCACCCCCAAGCTCTTCTGAATTAAGGAAATGAGAAGCAAAATAAAGATTCTGCAAAGTAAGTGACCCTCAAGCCTCAGCCTTCCTTGCAAACATGAGCAAGAAATTAACAGAAGAGTGCTTCACGGCACAGAGGGAGACTTCACCCGAAGTCTCCCCCCACCCCTTACACACAACACAACTGCAGCAACCTTCAGTCAAAAGGGACAAAAAACTACCACGTAATGCTTAATGAGGTTAAAAACTTGAGGTTTCTAAGGGGACAAAAATAAGGAAGATAATGGCCTCAGCATTTTGGCAAAGTAAGGCACACAACCTAGACAAAATCTAAGCAACAGTTCTTCAATGAAACCCTTTTTTTTTAAAAAAAATTTCTCATGTGTTATGTGTTTCTTATGTTTTATTATATGCACACAGACACATATTTTCAATAAAAAACAGACTCAGGGCTCTGTTTTTTCCCCCTACTCTGCTAATGATTTTTGAATTCCTCACCAATTAATTCAAATTGTTTTGTGGTCATTCAGCAAAAAAGCTGATATACAAACAAACCTCAACTAACTAGATGCTTAAGGCTTCATACATTATAATGGACTTTCAAGCAAGCTAATTACTGCTCACTGTGACGTAGGTTTTAAAAATGCACAACAGCCACTTCATATAGCATCATATCATTATCAGTTTTCGTATATAATTCAATTATACAAGTTGAACAACGTTCCAGGTTTAGTTTCCCGACTGCACAGAAAATTCAAAGACTTCTCATAAAATTATTCATATTACGTTGGTGAATCTGAATACCAAGAGTTTTGGTTGTAGTTTTTGTTAAACAGAAGAGTTTGTGTACCTTCAGTTACTGGTAAAAGATCAGAACGTAATTAAAGCTGAAGTTGGATAGAAACTCTCTGTGGGACTTTTCTGTCATTGACTTCTCAATTATCTCCCCTCCCCCTAAAAGCTTTTCGGTCATAAAAGAGAGGGAAAAAATATGTAGTGAGATATCTTTGAGATAAGTCCAGAACAATTTCAGAAGCTTTCATACCATAACAAGCTGCAGTCAAACCTGAACAATTACATATTTTAGCCCTGATTCCATCTGTACATTCAACTGTAGGAGTATGTTCTGATAAGAGTCACATAATCGAGCCTTCTGATTAAGAACAAAATCTCCGAACTTTTTTCAGAGATTTAATTTCCTTTCTTTTGTCTGCACAAAAGTTCCCCCCCCACACGCAACAGTCCTAATACTATCAAAATATGTTTCAAGTTAGGACCACAGTTTCTTTCCACTAGCAATCAAAATTAATAGTAGCATTTATCTTATTACCTACGTTTTAGGAATAATAATTAAAAATAAATACCTCTCTAGCATTCATTTCTGACTATTCATTTGGTGTCTCTCCTCAGCCATTCCCCCCAGCTTCTCCACAGGGCAGCACGGCGGCGGGGAGCAGGGAAGGAGGCTCTGTTCGCAGGAGCTGGGTTGCGCACCTGCACAGCAGCGTGCTGCAACAGCGCGCACAAACCCAGCCACTTCTGGCCAGAGCCGTTTCATACGGCGCTAGCTACTTTCCAGCTGCTGTCACTGGTGTTCCCAGTTATTGTAACAGCAATATGAACTGCTCAATAGGAACACGGGTACAGTCTGCCAAGCTATACTTGTGCACTATTTGCTTTCTCGAATTAGTTCAGAAATGTTACATTATATTCTACATATAAAACTTCCAGTCACTCTTCTAACGGATAATTTTATTTATCCGATAAATGTGAACCGATTATATGCAATGTGCTATAATATAAGGTGATTTTAGTCAGCCAAGTACTCATATTCATGAAACTTATTGACCACTCCTTTATGAGATTTATCTGTATTATTAAAAATGAAGGCAATTTGTAATTTGGCAACCTAAACTGTAGCCCATTTAGTACGTCAGAAGTCTTTTATATATCACCTTATATCCTTAAGTGCTTAACAAGTTACATGTTTCTAGAAGTCACTGAAATGCAGCCACCTCTCTGGTGACAAAACAGCTTATAGCAATGTTTCTTGTGCTAAACTGTGGTATAACAAAGAATAGTGAATTAATTTAACCTTAGTAGATTTGTTGTTTTGCAGTTTCACAAGACAGAGAAAGCCTTTAGGCAAATAGGTCTCTCACTGTATCGTTACATCTGCTTTACTGTGCTATTTAAGCGACTAACAGAATCTGAGGTACTCTACCTCAGCACAACACTTACTCAAAATGCCTACAACTCATTTAAATGAAACTAAAATTGACCTTCAATGTGATTTTCAAGCATCTAAGTGAGTTTGTAGCCAACAAGCACACCTCGGTGTCATTTTTCTCTTAGATAAAAGAGAGAGCCTTCCGTACTTCAGACTCCACTTTTCTACTGCCCTCAGTGCCTCAGGCTTTCCATGCGGCTAGAAGGAGTTAAGGCTCTTCCCAATATTGGCTAAATCCTCTCCATTTCCCACAACGAAATTTCTATTTGCCATTCTTTTGCTTATAATAAAGATCATACTCGAGTCCTACTGAAGGATGGGGTTGGGGGGAGAAGCTGGGGAGGAAGAGGACTGCTCAACTAATATTACCAACACCTTGAAAAAGAACTACCAGTATATCATCTAACAAAAGACAGTAAGTTGATATTGCTAGTCCATGTTTAATTTCAGCAGCAAATTATTAGTGCTAGGGATCACTTAACATTACTGTTTTCATGTAGAAACTACAAAACAGGTCACAGAATTGCAAGCAAGATATTTATTTCCATTCCTTCCCAGAGATGCATTAAAATGAGTAATGTAGGCCATTTGAAATCATCTGCAAAGCTCTATAAAAATAAGTTCTTTATGCATTTAGATCCAGATGCATGAAAGTACTATTGAAACAAGCAGAGTGGAAATCAAAGATGTTGTTATGAATGTTTGCTAAGTCTGGAAGACAAATAAAATATTTGAATGCAAAACTCCAACACCAAAGTGCCAATTATTTGGCATAGTGGCAGAACAAGATGGCCTGCAGAGAGGAAAAAAACACCTAAGTCTTAATTTATGAAAGTAATATTTCCAGAAGCAATTTACTAATGTAATAATAATAAACGGAAACACACACACATGACCTACCTTTTCTCCCTCAATTCCACAAATCCTTATGTTGAATAGGTAGTTCAACTAAGATCAAAGATGTTACTTGTTGTGAGCTTTATACTATTAACAGGCAGATCTCAGCCTTGGCCCTCAGCTTCCAGACCACAACTCTTACTCACACTTAGTTGTATTCACTGGTGATATCTTTATTTCCATCTCTTTTTAGAGGGAGGGAGCAGGAAATAAAGAGAAGAAAAAGTGTGAAGAAAGAATTTTAAGACTATTTTCTCCCC